TACTGTTATCATTATCATTATCATTATCATTATTATTATCATTATTATTATTGCCATTACTATTATCATTATTTATATTGTCATTATTATTATTATTTCTATTATTATTATCGTAATCATTATTATCATTACTACTATTACTATCATTATTGCTACTATTGCCATTGTTATCATCATTATGATTATCAGTATTATTTTACTTATTATTATTATCATCCTTTCTATTATCATTATTATTGTCGTTGTTGTAGTTATTATTATAATCATTATCATAATTATCATAATTGTTAATTTTATTATTTTCATTATCATTATCATTATTAGTGTTAGCATCTTTACATTTATTATTATCATTATTTATTATCATCATCATTCATTATTGTTATTATCATTATTATTATTATTATTATTATTATTATCATTATTATTATTATTATTATGATTATTATTATTATTATTATTATTATCATTATTATCATTATTATTATAATCATTATCAATATTGTTGTTATCATTATTACTGTCACCATTATTATTTATGTTATTATTTATATTATCATTATTGAAATTATTACCATTATTATTGTAATCATTATTATCATCATTACCATTATCCTTATTATTGTTATTACTTTTATGAACATTACTATTATCATTATTATCATTATTATTATTATTGTTGTTGTCGTTGTTGTTGTTGTTGTTATTATTATTATTATTATTATTACCATTATCATTATCATTATCATTATTATGATCATTATTATCCTTATCTTATCATTGGTAGAAAAAACACAATGTAAAAACTAGATTTATTGAAAGTGAGACGACAGTTTCGGAATCCACTTGGATTCCATCCAGGTGGATTCCGAAACTGTCGTCTCACTTTCAATAAATCTAGTTTTTACAATGTGGGTTTTTCTACCATAGTATCAACACGATAGAGTGTTTTCTTCACTTATCTTATCATTATTACTTTCACTATTACTACTGCTATTGTAATCATCATTACTATTATCATTATTGTTATAATCATTATTACTATTGTTATCATTGTTATTATCATTATTATTATTGTTATCATTGTTATTATCATTATTATTATCATTATTATTATTATCATTATTATTATTGTTATTATAATCATTATTAGTAGTCAAACCACCATTATTACCATTATAATCATTATTTCTAATATTTATATACCAGGTGTTATCATTATTATCATTACCATTATTATCATCATTACTATTATTATCGTTACTATCACTATTATTACTATGATTATCATTATTATAATGATCATTACTATCATTACCAATATTATTATCATCAATACTTATCGTTGTTATTGTTATTATCATTGTTATAATTGCTACTGTTCTTATTATTGTTGTTGTTGTTATCAGTATCGTTATTTTTATTACTATTATTATCATTATAACTATCACTGATACCGTTATCATTATCGTCATTAGCAATATCATTTTATTATCTTCATCGTTATAATCAGCATTACTACAACTACTACTGTTGTTATCGCTAGTATCATTACCATTATCTCTCTCTCTCTCTCTCTCTCTCTCTCTCTCTCTCTCTCTCTCTCTCTCTCTCTCTCTCTCTCTCTCTCTCTCTCTCTCTCTCTCTCTCTCTCTCTCTCTCTCTCTCTCGCTCTCGTTCTCTCTCTCTCTCTTCTCTCTCTCTCTCTCTCTCTCTCTATATATATATATATATATATATATATATATATATATATATATATATATATCACACACACACACACACACGCACGCACGCACACACACACACACACACACACACACACACACACACACACACACACACACACACACACACACATACACCCACACACACACACACACACACACACACACACACACACACACACACACACACACACACACACACACACACACACACATACACCCACACACACACACACACACACACACACACACACACACACACACACACACACACACACACACACACACACACACACACACATATATATATATTATATATATATACATATTTCTTGATACTTTTTCTATTACTCTTAAACATTACATACCATGTGATAAAACACGTCTTAATCAGTAAGAAGATAAAGAAGCCACGAATTGTTTTTTAATGCCACTTCACAGTTATTTGCCTAAGTAGCCTTCCCTTATATATAACTCTGCATTAGGAGGACAGCGTTTGTTATAGCCAATACTAGCTACTGTCCTTTTTAATTGTCAAAACACGACTACGGTTTCTCCTAATCTCAGCCTCCCCGTATGTCTGGCTCGTCACAGAAAGAAACGCAGCGTCACACTTACTCTCCGATTTTCTTCACACGCCCGGCCATGATCGCGCCCGCTTAAAATCCGTGAGCAGAGAAGGGCGTCGAGTTCTCTCCCCTCCTCCCAGATGCGCACTGCGGGCATCGGCTCCGACTGAGCCTGAGTACCTGAGTCCGCTTCGGCCACTAGCTGCGGGTGACCTTGGGCCGCGCTGTGCGGGGTACAGCCTGTAGGAGCGCGTAAGGCAGTTTGCTTCTTTGCGTCTCTCTCTCTCTCTCTCTCTCTCTCTCTCTCTCTCTATCTCACTCTCTCTCTCTCTCTCTCTCTATCTATCTATCTATCTATCTATCTATCTATCTATCTATTTATTTCTCTTTCTCTCTCTCTATCTATCTATCTGTCTATGTATCTCTCTTTCTCTCTCATGTGCATATATGTTTTTACACATGTATATATATATATATATATATATATATATATATATATATATATATATATATATATATATATATATATATATATATATATATATATATATATATATATATATATATATATATATATATATATACAGATGTAGATCTATATACAGATAGATGGAATTTTATACAGATGCATATATACATATACAGTGTATACATACACACACGCATGCACACACACACACACACACACATACAAATATATATATAGAGAGATTGATAGATAGGTCAATAGATAGATAAACTGTATGTATGTGTATGTATGTATGTATGTATGTATGTATGTATGTATATACATATATATATATATATATATATATATATATATATATATATATATATATACATATATATATGTGTGTGTGTGTGTGTGTGTGTGTGTGTGTGTGTGTGTGTGTGTGTGTGTATGAGAACTCAGAGTGTGGAAGAAATGCCCCATTTAACTTCTCACTTGAGCACCACCGGTTATTGTCTGTCCCCTATAGACGTGTGAGTGTTCATGTCCTACTGGCTCTATGTATCCCTGCTGTTCCACAAAGGCGGATGAGTAGTTTCGCTACCAACGGCATCCTTTGGACCCTTTGAATTATAGCCATAGTTGTGTGTCCAGCATTCCTGAATTCAGACACCTCCCTATTGTATGTAGGCTCAGTCTTACATTTCTTGTTTTCCTTTCTTTCTCATATTTTCCTTCTTACTTCACCATATCTTATTACAGTCATGAATGTCGATTTAGCCACGGTCAAGAATCTCTGGGTTTTTGATGATTGAGTTCTTTCTCAAATTTAATGTCTTATTGTTTTTGTATGGAACTATTATTTTGTTGTCGGGTGCTGTTGAGTTTAATCCTGGCCCTTACTTTTTAGTAATATCCGTTGACTTCACGGGAATTTGAATGAACTTGCAGTTATCTCAACAAAATTTGACATTATGAGTTACTTTTGCCTAATTTTAATAAATCATTGTTGCTACGTAGAAATTCTTTGTCTCGAGCCCAAGGTTTGTGTTTATATTCAAGGGTTGGTTTTAATGCTAGTCGTTTAACAAGTACGAATGCAGTTGTCATGAATACAAGAATATGTGGTCGTTTTGATAATTTCAACATTTATAGTCTTTATAGAAGTCACAATTCCGATGACAGCATTTATGATTGTTTACTGACTTCACACATTTCCATTTAAGAGAATGATCGAAAATCGTGCTTTATTTATATGGGTGATTTTAATGTTCACCACTGCTCCCACCACTGCTTAGATTTCTCAGTGTTGTTGAGTGTGAGCAGTTAGTCCGTGGAGCAACTCGAATGAGTGGTAATCTTTTAGATTTTTTATTAGTTCATGTAAGATGGGAAATTAATGTAGAGTCCATCGCGCCAATTAGTTCTTCTGACCACGGGAGTCTAACTTGTGAGGTCCAGCTGGACTTTCCAATACCAGATTTTACCCAAAGTAGACAAGTCTATTTAAAATCTAGAATAATTGGGATGATGTCTACCACGCTTTTGATAGTATTGTTTGGCGAGATGTTTATAATGCTTCTTGTCCTATTAATGGTTTAATGAACGATGTCACCAGGCTTATGGGGACAAACATACTGCTTACAATCTCTGGTCTACTAGCCGCACTCGTCCTTGTTGGAAGAATTATGTTGCCATGCGAAATACAGCAACTAATGTTTATAAGGAGGCTTAATCTGACTATAATGCTCATTTGAAAGAAGTTCCCTCAAAGCGTCACAGCCTCCTAAATGGTGGTCAACGCTTAAAGCATCTCTGTTTGGTGTTGAGTCCTTTATTCCTCCTTTATTGAAGTCTGATGGTAGTGTTACTTATAGTTCAATTGAGAAAGCTACCTTGCTAGCGGAATGCTTTAATTCAAAACAAAATTCAGAATATATCGGACTCTTTCATATCACCCATTACCCTGCTTTAATTCATTTGCATTCAGATCCTCTAAAATCAGAATAAGACGAATATGGTGGAGTAGACCCTGATGACTTGTTTCAGTTTGATTTAAAAAAGACTAGATGGTCAATTAGCCCCTGAATTAGCTGTAATCTTACGACTTTTACTTCGCCAAGGGTCATTTTCAGAGTGCTGGCGCTTTGGTGATGTTTCCCCTATTCCCAAGGGCCTACTACAGTCTTCGCCTAATGACTATCGGCCCATTTCAATTACACCAATTTTATCTAACGTTTTTGAACGTCTTCTGGCCAAACGTCTTTCTGCATATTTGAGACCGTTTTATGCATTGCGTTTTAGATAAGGCTCATAAATCAAGGATTATCTCTGGATTTTAATGCAGCGTTTGGCACTGCTAACCACAAGGGTTTGATTTTTAAGTTGCTGTCTGTTGATGTTGGTGGTAAAGTTTTAAGTATTTTACTGAATTTTTGACAGTGTGTTCATATCGATGGTAGTTTTAGCTCGTATCCAGTGTGTCTTCTGGGGTTCCTCAGGGTAGTGTTTTGGCCTTTTGCTCTTCATTTTGTATACAGCGATATGTGGTCCGGCATTACTAATAAAATGGTGACATATGCCGATGATACTTCTCTCTATGTTGATATTCCTTCTCCGGCAACCAGGGAAATAATAGCTGACAGTCTCACCATAGACCTGATGATAATTCATTCGTGGTGCTCTCGGTGGGGTATGAAATTAAATCCTACCAAGTCCAAGGAAATAGTCTAAATCCTTGTTGCCTCTGTATCCAAGTCTGCTGATTAATGAAGTCTTAAGCACTTCTGTGGATAATCTAAAGCTCTTAGGTGTAAAACTTGATTCAAAGCTTAAATTTCAATTGCAGATTAGGAATATGGCCTGGGCAGTTTTTTCTAAGGGCATCATTCGCAAGTGCAAGAAGATTTATGAAAATGAGAGCATTGCTCGTAGATGCTTCTTTATTCTGCCTCATTTTGAGTATTGTTCTCTCTTATGACTGCTTGATCATTCTTTTAATTCAATATAATTTCTCCTGTCTTAGATTTGGACACTGGGCATCATAGGGATATTGGGAATCTATAAGTTTATACCTGATTTTCATCAACCTGCAAGAGTTACTAGAAGTTCTGTGACCCACAATTCAGTGACATTTGATGCAAGTCGACTGTCTACTTCTCAGTTCTCTAGATGATTTTTGCTGCTATTTGTAGGCTTTGAAACAGATTGCCTTCAGATATTTTAACTTCTCTGACTCTTGATAAGATTAAAAGAGCAGCTGATATGTATTTACTACGTAAATAAGTGATGATTTTCTTTCTTTTCTTTCTTAGCTGTGTTTTGACCTGCATTGACGCCTTTGATGGTATTATTCTAAAAAAAAATCAGTGAACCTCTTTATATGGCTTACCATAATAATATACATACATGTATATATATGGAGGTGTGTGTGTTTATGTGTGTGTGTGTGTGTGTGTGTGTGTGTGTGTGTGTGTGTGTGTGTGTGTGTGTGTGTGTGTGTGTGTGTGTGTGTGTATGTGTGTGTGTGTGTGTGTGCGTGTGTGTGTGTGTGTGTGTGTGTGTGTGTGTGTGTGTGTGTGTGTGTGTGTGTGTGTGTGTGTGTGTGTGTGTGTGTGTGTAGGGACCCGAATGAGGAGCTCTACAAGAGCATGGTAGGTGGCGAACTTAGGGTGTAAAGTAAACAACCAAGATGTCTTGACTCCTTTATTGTATAATAGTAATGGAGTACGGCTGCACTGAGGAGCAAGGTGTTGTTCCTTGGCTCCCCACATGGAGTTTGCCTGTCATCTCCTACAGTGGTCTAAAGATGGGTATAAATCACATACTTACCATGTGACAATCGGTGGTGATGAAAGGTAGTGTTACAACAATGCTTGTGGAAGGGGATAGACAACACAACATTGGAATGTCTAGTGTGGCAAGAAGAGACGAATAAACAGGTAAAGCAATGGACATGTATATATATGTATTTGTGTGGGAATATGAGAATGCGTCAATACATAAGATTATACAAGTTATGTAGAATATAACAATAGATAAATAGAATAACAATGGCATACATATTTCATTGGCATACATATTTCAGTATGTCTTGGCATACATATTTCTGGGTTACATATCTCCCTGGTTTTCAAACGATGGTCCCCATCATAATCAAACATCATTTTAATTCATGTAGCCAAAATCAATAGAAAAGTACATAAGAAGACACAGTGGGATAATGTTATGAAACACGTAAGCAGCATAGAAAACGACACTATTGTATGACGTAGTGTGCGATATCAGTATCGAGATTTGCTAGTTATATGAGTGCTAACAGATGCTGAGACTACAATATTGTTGGGCTTCAGAACTACGTGAACGGGCGGCGCTGAAGGAAATCCATCTTCAAGTAGCGTCACAGAATGCGAATGAGTAAGTGGCACTGAGGGAGTACAAGTGAGAATCTAGTTTGGCAACTCATAAACTGCAAATGAATGCCTATAACTGGCAACTGAATGAAAAGAAGGGGAACTCTGCCTGGTATAGGGATATTTTGGTTGGTCCACGTCCTTGGTGATATGTGGTTCAGGTGTTGAGGGGTCAGCAGAACTTCAGCAGCTGGATGGACAGTGTAGGTTATCCGGCCTTGGGAACATCTGAGCAGGAGGACTGCCTACAGTCTGGCAGGGTGTGCTGTTGATGTGGAGCAGGACCTTCGGAGGCGTTGTATGAGTTCAATCCCACCGCTGCCACCAGTTGTAGGGGCCCG